CCTCAAAGAAGTCCTTCCAAATCAATATGATTGCTATTTACAATATAAATACATTAATGTAGCTATATTACTCATCTATAATTGATTGAGTACAAAATTCTGGGTTATTTTTGGTGAAAACAGGGTATCAGGCCTTGGTTCAGGAACCAATCCCCCATTTATAACATTGTTTCCTATAGGAAAATCAATTACAAGTTACAATGTTTTGATTTAAGATGCTGTTTTCAGGAACCAATTGTGTCGTTAAGTCCGAGGACTGCCTGTACTGCAGATGGGGCAAATACCCCACTTGCTTAAGGGAAAAGGCTAAACTTTTCATCCTACCCTGAAGAAGAGCATTTGATGTTTTGACCCAGCAGGGGAAACAAATTTGAGAGGAAGGGGTCCGTTAACTGTGTCCTGGTGATCTCAATTGATAGACTTCCCCCAGAGTCACTTACTTATCCAAGTTGCAAAGCCAGACTTTTCCTGGGGCAGCAGCTTTCTGTTAGTCATTCTGGCTAAGTACAGACAGTCAAAAAGGCTGGGGCTATATCGATTTGGTCATTGCAGGTTAGTCTAAGCTACAAAGATTGAACCAATAAGCAAATGAACAGTCATCCACTTTTGATTCCATAAATGCAGCCCGATGCCTGCAGTGGTTCAAGCCAGAAGTCAGGGGGTGGTAGAGCACAGCTCTCTGGCACACAGCCAGCATGAGCTGTATGTCCACTTCCTCTTCCTGCTGCCCCCAAGATCTCTCAAATTTACAGTCCAGACTCACAACAACAACTCTGAAGGGTTGCTCATCACTTCCTCTTCCTGCTTCCAGGTACCTCTGGGATTTGTTCACAGTTGCAGCCAGCACTAAGTAAGCAGGGCAGGTCAGCTCAGTACTTGGGGGAAGAGAAGCTTAACTCCCCTCCCTGGCCCCAGACCCCAGCAGGGCTGAGGCAAACCAACTCCAGTGGCACCACAGCCTCAGTCAAGTTGCAGCTGGCCTCAAGGTAAAGCATCTTGCCCTCAGAGCACAAGAAAGAGAGGAGGAAGGAAAAGGAGAGTAATCCTGGCCTAAAACCTATCGCCACCCTAGAAAAAGATCTCCAACTTCTGCAGACTGATCTGTGGCTTGAGGATCAGGCTCTTAAGTCACCTCAAGATCCATTAACAAGGGGTGCAAGAGATCATCCGTGTATCAAGGCGGAGGGGAGGGGGGGAGGTGTCAGTGAGCCAGCCACTGAGCCAGTCTTCACTGCTTCAGCTAGGGAGCACAGCAAAACAGCCTGGAACTTCCCTCAATGTCCTGTGTAGATAAGCGATGGACTAAGATGACAGCTGGAAATGTTGACATCATTTCAGTGGGGATGCACTGAGATCCTAGTGCTTTTCTTAATCGGTGCTCACACAGATCCTTGTAACTTTGCATTGCAGTAAGAAAAGGTTAAAACTTCTGGCCACCAGCTGGTGCTGGAAGGTTGATAACAGCGAGAAGTTTTCTATCAGAAGCTAAGGAGGATTGTGGGGGGGTGGGTGTGGGTGTGTGTGTGTGTGTGTGTGTGTGTGTGTACTGAAGTGTATGTAACAGTGGGAGAATACACTCTTCTGCGGGATGGGGAATTGCAGCCCAGCCAACCAGATCAGCTGTCAGTAAATGTTTTGAGCCTATTTCTTATTTTATCAGCCAGATCATCCTAAGCCCTTAACTTTCTTTTATTTACATACAGCCTTTAGTACAGTTCTTCTCTAAGATGTCCCTTCAAATGATTCCTCCTCTACTGTGTACTCTTGTGATTTTTTTTTTTTTTGCAAGTCTCTTGCTATTTGGTGATTTTTCTAAAACCCCAGTTTCCTGGAGTACTGTGAGGTTGGGGGGAAAACCTTCATCTTTTCTTAAAGGCTTCAAACACAAAACTCAAGAGAACAAACAGAAAGAAACCCAGGTATATCACTACTTTAAAAAGCGTGTGAGACTTCAGTCCTAGTATTTTAGCCCTGACTCGTGCTTTTTTGAATATTTGAGATTGACAATTCCAGGACTGCATGTTTTAAACAATAATTGGGAGGGTGCATCTCTTTGTGTGTAAGTTGTCATCTCTCAACCACAAGGGTGAAGACTGTTGAAGCTTTTGTATGACATGGTAACCAATAGTAAAGAGTTTCCAGCTTGTGTCTCAGTTTAAATGAATGATGTGGGAGCTGGGGTAGACACTGTGCTCTCCTCCCAGCAATGAACGATGGATTCCCCAAGCCCCACATTAGCTTTTCTCACCCCACACACATCTGCTTCAGCATGCCGGTGGTGGCAGCAGTCTCTTGATTTGCGGATGATCTCTTCCACCCCTCATTAATGGGTCTTGAGGTGACTTGAGCCACAGATCAGTCTGCAGATGTTAGAGGTCCTTTGGTGGGGGGACGGGGACACGATAGGTGGTAGGCCAGCATTGCTCTCTTTTTTCCTTCCTCCGCTCTTTCTTGTGCTCTGAGGGCAAGACACTTTACCTTGAGGTAGGCTGCAACTTGGCTGAGGCTGTGGTGCCACTGGAGTTAGTTTGCCTCAGTGTGAAGCCCTGCTGTGCCGTGTGTGTGGCTCCCCAGCTTTGGGGGTAGCATCAGTCATGCTGCCTGGCTCCCTATCTGAGGCACTGGGGGTGGGGGGGCAGCACCAGGGTTTCTTTACAACCTCTTCCCAACCAAAGGCCTGGTGTTGCAGGGAGGCAAGAGGGCTGGGCTGGGCCTGGCTGTGGGCACGTGAGGGAAGCCCAGGGAAAGGAGGAAGCAAAGCCACCTTCAGCCCAGTTCCTCTCCTGCCTGCACTGCCAGGATGAGGGGGTGATAGGAGCTGTAGTGGGCCTGGCTTCTCCATGGCAGGGGGGAGCCATGGGGT